TAAAACTCAATACATAGGTTCATCGTTGGTAGCACAATAGAGGAAATATCCTTATTCATCGTATAAAAGTCAATTAAAGTTGTAACTTGAAATATTGTCATACAAGGTTTCCTGTCCAGGAAAATCGAATCTCAATATTTCTCAGATATACATGCTGATAATGACATTGATAACGAATTGGTGTAAATTCTGAAGGTTTCTCTTCAAATCTGGGCTTTTAAGGTTAGGTCATCTTTCCTTGAAACGTTATTCGAAAAAAATTTACTTTTCATAAGCATTAAACTAGGAAGACCTTCATGTTTAATCGTTGTCAAAGAGGTACTGCAATAAAATAACATAGTTCTGATCCCCTTTTCAGATTGTATGTCGGAGAAGTACCTGAACATGCAGTTCCATCAATTTGGACCTATATCTCAGGTCGTAGTGGACCGGGAGCGAGGGCACGCTCTGGTCTTCTTCGAGCAGATTAGCTGCGCGCAAACTGCTGTGAAGGAGATGAGGGGAGCTGCTCTTCGTGGACGTCGACTTCAGGTTGACTTTGCTTCCAGAGAGTGCCAGGAGACGTTCTACGAGCACCTCGAACGACAGGGTGTCGCTGGAGAAAAACCTTGGGACACGAGGCCTTCCCCAGCGACCACCTTCGATGTCTCGTATGTATACTTTATAGTGTACCATAAATTCTCTGAATACTGCTGGATGTTTTTATAAAATAATTATTCAGACGTTTGTTAACATAAGTAAATTTATTTTAACACGTTCACTGTTCAAGCTGATGAAATTTCTCATATCCTAATAAACATTTTCCTCGTTCTCCGATCTTAACAAATTGCTATGTTTGTAATTGCATTGCAAACTATAGTTCCAGAGAAAATGATGAAATTACGAATACCGTAGATATCAATTGTCGTGATTTTCCAAGTAAATGTGGCTTAGATACACGCATCAGTCATTGAACAGCGGACATGTTAACGTTATTATAAGGTATAGTTACATATGCATCTCACGGGATATTCGACAAACATTTCTACAATCTCAGTGACAGAAACACCGATGTGCTTTGTGTCATAGTTTAACCAACGATATACCCAGCACAATATTCAAAAAATTTCAACAAATGTCTGTTACTGGGTCCTGCAGAAACCGGTCAAATATCCTATAGGATGCTTTTAGCATGCATATTACCTGGATCCCACGAATGAGAACGTGAAAATATAGTACACCCCCGTTATTTGAAGGATTCCTTCCAGGCGGGAGCGTAGCAGTTTCGACTCCGGGGTGACTGTATCGAATTCGAGTAGCAGGTTTACCCGCTACGAGACGCCCCCGAGGTCGAGAACGGCGAGTTACTCCCGCACATCTGGAGGTGGCAGTACACCGGGCGCGAGTCCAGCCCATCCAACCGCGATGTCCCGTAGCAATAGGCGATCGTATCAGGACACCTATTACGATGGGGACTACAGCGAGCCGGCGCCTCGACGGTTCCGCAGCTACGACGAGTTTAGTCAGGGAAGCGGGGCGAGTCACGACGACTATCAGAGCAGCGTGCTTGGCGACGGAAAGCTGAACGACGACGATTGTCCGCCACCCTCGCGTCGCCACGCAGTGCAAAGCGTCGTCACCAGTGTCGATCCCCCTGCTCCGCCACCACCCTTGTTGCCGCCACCGCCGGACATCCGGCACCTTCAAAAGGAACGGGTGCACCTCTTGGAACAACTCGAGGAGTGTCACAGCAGCGGCGACGAGGTCGGTTTCGCCCCGAAGAAACGCGCGAAACTCGACGGAGCTTCCACGACAATACTGTGCGAGGACGACGAGCCTGAGATCGCGTCGTTGCTGGTCACCTCGCACTCGAGTAGAAAAGGCATGGACATTCGACGCGTCAGCGACAGTAAGGTGGTGGTGCACCATGGTACGAGGAGAGGCAGCTGCGAGGGCAGGGGCCCGGGACCCTGCAAGCGCCGGCGTGATGTCACTAGCAGGTGTGTGTTCACAGTTTCCTGATGTTTGAGTTATTGGTAGTCTGATCAAGAGAATGCACTCGTGCATTAAACTGTATCTAAATCAGCATTGAACCCCAAATGTTCATGTACACGCAATAATTTCTGTTAAAGGCATCACGAACATCACGATGGATCGCGGCCAGGTACCCCGTTGGTCGACGAGAGGCCGGAAAACCTAGTGCCCAGCGAGCCGAGGCGGTTTCGTGAACGAAGTCACGAGGGACCTCTGTCGTTACCGTTACCGAGGTTCGCCACACAGATGTTGAACAACAACAACAATAACAACAACACCAGCAGCAGCAATAACAACAGCAGCGGCAGTAATCGATCGAGCAACACGAGCCTCGCGAAGGTCACCAGTCCGCCGTGCGCCACTCTGTCGACGACGCCGAGTCCCCGTGCCGCACCCCAACCTCCTGCTTCGCCACCGCCTCGTCATCCCAGTCCGAGTCCGACCAGCTCGGACAGCGAAACGGCGCCTCAGTCGCCCAGTCTCGAAGAAAGGATACGGTCCCTTGACGAGAAATACGAGAAATGGTCCGGTTCGAGGGCGTTGAGCGCTGCCGGCGGCGATGCGTTGGCCAAGCTGGACGCGACCGCGTCCGCGCGGTTCAGGTTCAGGCACAAGCTTCTCGATCTGGATCTACACGAGGTGCAGCCGTCCGACATCGTAAAGTCGGTTCTTGCCAAACGAAGTGTGTTCGACGAGGACTCGAAGCGGTTAGAGAACTTCAGCGAGAAGTACGAACCGCGAGAGTTCACCGGTGTTCTGAACGTCAGCTCGATGATCGGCGGCACGAGTGGTCTGACGTCGACCGGTGGCTGCACCAGCAAGGTCTGCTTACAGTATCCGTTTCCTAGTCACCCGCCTGTACAGTTGACCAGTAGCGCGACCGCGACCAGCCAGATCGGCATAAGTACCACGTCCCTGTCCTCGAGCCTGACATTCACGACGAGCATGTCGTCAGCGTTGAAGACAGACCCGCGGGTAACGGTGCAGCATAATTGCGTACACCCGACACCGGCCACGCCGATCACTCCCGGCACGTCAATCAAAACTGTTAGTCCCGAATTACCACCAGTCTCGCTGCCAATCGGTCTTGGTAGTGGGACGACAGCCAGTAGCGGCAATAGTAGCGGTTTAGCGTCAGCTAGTAGTATTCTTAGCAGCAACGGTAGCGTAAGTAACATTCACGTTCTTGGAGCATCAACCAGCCGTGGGCCAAGTACGACGTCGGCGTCCGCTGTTCCGACAACGGCGACGGCGACGGCGACGGTCACGTACGCGACAACGGTGCCGGCCACTGCGATAGCGACGGCGACAACGACGACGTCCGCGACAGCAGCGACCGCACCGTCGATGACCACCACCACGACGACCACGGTATCAACATCGTCATCATCATCAACCGGTCAATATCAAACTTCCATGTCCACCGTCTCCTCCACGGTGCTATCGTCTTCCACGACGTCCGCGTCCACGTCCACGTCGAACTCCTCTTCCTGCTCGTCGTCGTTATCTTCGTCCGCCGATAGCTCCCGTTCGCGACTACGGAAAGAGATCGGCAGTAATCGGGACAGCAGAGATTCTCGTGACAGCAAGGACGGTAGGGATTCGAAGTACAGTAGTAGTAAGGGAAAAGATTGTCAGAGGAAGTCGCGAAAAGAGGACACGGACGTGGAGAGGAGTCGCAAGGACCGGGAGGAGAAAGAGTCCGTGGTTAGCGACATAGCCGATTCCGATAGTCACAGAGAGTTCAAAGAGAACAAGGAGGTGCGTTACGAGAGAAAAGACCGGGACGAGAAGGAAAGACGGGAGAAAGACGATCGTGAGAGGCAGGAGAGGAGGGAGAAGGAGGATCGTGAGAGACAAGAACGAAAGGAACGAGAGGAAAGGCGGGAGAAGGACGAGGAGAGACGGGAACGAGAGAGGCTGGACAAGGAACGACAGGAGAAGGACAAACGGGAGAGAGAGGAGAAAGAACGGGAACGAAAGGAACGCGAGGAAAACGAAGCTAAGGAGAAAGAGAGGAGAGAGAAGGAAAGGTTAGAGCGTGAGAAACGGGAGAGGGAAGAGAAAGAACGACAGGAGAGAAGGGAGAGAGAGGAACGAGAAAGGAGGGAACGCGAGGATCGGGAGAGGAAAGAACGGGAGCTTCGATTAGAGCGGGAGAAACAGGAGAAGGAACGGCTTAGGAAGGAAAGAGAAGAACAAGAGAGGCGAGAGAAAGAGGAACGGGACAGATTGGAGAGGGAAAGAAGGCGGGAGGAGAAGGAACGGATCGAAAGGGAACGGAAGCGCGAGAGGGAGGAGAAAGAACGACTCGAGCGGGAACGACGGAAAGAGAAAGAAGAACGGGAGAGGGCGGAGAAAGAGAAACGGGAGAAAGAGGAACGGGAGAGATTCGAGCGAGAGAAGCACGACCGTGAGAAGAGGAGAGAACGCGAGGATCAGGAAAGACGCGAGAAGGAGAAGTCCGAGCGTGACAAGAGGAGGGACCGAGAGGAAAAGGACAAGGAGAAGAGAGACCGTGACGAGAGTAGAAGGCAACCCATCGAAAATCATCTTCATCAAACCGTGTCCCAATCGCAGAATCAGATCGCCCCTGCTCCCGTGTCCATCAAACGGCGTTGTTCGTCGCAAGACGGACCGACGGAGGATGACGCGAAACGTATGAAGATCTCCGACCACCGTAGGGACAGCAAAGACCGGCCTAGACAGAACAGGAGGTCCGAGGATCGTAAACATCGCAACGATTCTCATCGATCTAGCCGAGAGAGCAGGGAAAGTCGCGATAGCAAAGAAAGCAGCGGATCTACGCAGACCCAGGACAGCAGAGAAAGTCACAGCGAGATCAACAGGGAATCAAACAGGGAGAACAGAGAAAACAGGGAAAACAGAGAGAACAGAGAGAACAGAGAGAACAGGGAGAACAGGGAGAACAGGGAGAACAGAGAGAATAGAGAGAACAGGGAGAACAGGGAAAACAGGGAGAACAGATGAAAGAGAAACAACGGAACAAGAGAAGTCGCTCCGAGAAAGAGTCGAGGGAACGAAGCCCAAGAGTCTCCCACGAAACGGACAAAGAATTCCTATCGAGGCTGGAACTTTCTAAACGGAACGATTCGAACTCGCCGAGCGAACAGACTCAGGTCAGCTCGAATCATTCCCGAGAGATACAACAACACCATCAGCAACAATCTGCCTTGAACTTGCACAGTGACGTGGACGACGGTCCGTTGTCTACTCACGATATGCAAGTGGCAAGGCATCCGTCCGCTACCGACACGGACAGCGATGAACCAAAGAAACACTCGATCTTTGATATCGTTGACGACGAGCCCGCTTACATCAGTATGTACGACAAGGTGAAGGCACGATCGACCAAGAACATGCAGAAGCTCGAGGAGGAGAAACGTCAAGTGCGTCTGAAGGACAAGTTCTCGCAGTTGAAGCAAAGTCGAGCCAGACGGGAGGAGAAGAAGCAGAGCACCTCGTGGGACGGGGATTCGGTGTCCAGCAAAGCTCTGACGGAGGACGAGGCTACGTCCGAGTCGGACTCGGCCAGAGCCAAGTCGCTGTCCAGAAAGGGCTCTCGGTCGCGAATTCACTCCGACACCAGTGAAGAGGACGAAGCGTTCAACAACAAGATCAGAAAGGTGAAGACCGAGAGGTTCCTGGAGAGCGACGTCGATCTCGGATTCGCCGACACCGAGGAGAAACATAATCCTCTGGACACCTCGAATGTGGTCAGTAGTGTCCATGCGAATGTGAAGGAGGAACCTCGTACGTCGGACGACGATGAACGAATTTCCGTTGGTTTCCGCGTAAACCATCCCGCGATTGTCGTTAATAATCACGAGAGGGACTCGCGCAAGAAGTCGCATAAGAAGAAACAGAAACGACAGAAGAACTCGATGTCGAACGAGGACAGTTTGAAAACCGAGTCCTTGGAGAGTATCGAGCACAAGGCCAAGTCGAACATCACCAGCAATGTGGACGGTCGACCGAATCACACGTCAGAGCCCATTACCGTTGCGAACACGACCACTTCCGTGACGACGGTGTTGGAGAACACCGAGGAGAGGATACGATCCGACAAGAAGCAACGGAACAAGAAGGACAAAAGAAGAGACAGGAACGGAGACGATAAGGCTAAAGCGAGGAGGAAGAGGATCAACAGGCAAGAAGCTAGGGATTCGCAGCGTATGGAAGACATCTTCGGTCCTTTATCGGATGACGTTGATGATGGTCCGTCGAACACGTTCTTCAACCGACTGGGCAGTATTCCATCGGAGAACAACACCTACGCTTCCGACAGTGACGGTGGTCATAGTCCGGTGTTGGACGTGGAACGAGTGAGAAGAAAGACTGAGAAGAAGCGTCGTCATCAACCAGAAGACGAGAACAGCGTGGACCTGGCGGAGGCCGGCCGGGAAATCGAAGCGAAACTCTTAGGACTACCGAATTCCCCGAAATCGGGTATAGCGTGTACGGAGAGCAACGATCACGACGTGTTTCGATTCACGGACGACAACGACAGCGTGGAACCGTCTACCCCAACCACGGTTCCGGAGAAGGTCAAAGAGAAAAAGAAAAAGAGAAAGAAGTCGAAAGAGGAGCGTAGTCGAAAGGATTACCACCATCATCACCACCATCACCATCATCATCACGAAAAGAGTGGCGAGTTACCGTATCTGGGCGCAGATCCTAGTCCTCCAAGGGCCAGCAGTCCGATAATTACCAAGACAATGTCGCCTACTCTGCCTACACCCAGAGACACGTTGCTCAGTCCAATCCCGCAGGTTACGTCCAGCGTGACGACACCATCGATGACTCCGCCGGTGAGTGGCGGTATTCAGACCTCGAAAGCGGAAAAGAAGAAGGACAAGTTCATACCTGGCTTTGGTATCGAGATCGACGAGGCCATTCATGAGAACGCGGTAAAGAGCATCTCTGAGCCGGAAGAACGCGAGAACAGTTGTCAGTCGCGAAGCGGTAGGGAGGAACCAGACGTGACTGCGCCGACGACACCACCCGCGCAGACCGAAGACAAGCCTAGGGTCGCCATCTCGCAGGAAGAGACCGAGGACGCCGTCGCCGCGTTGCTGGAGGAGACTTTCGGAGGGTCTACCGAAGAATTCTCCTACGAAGGCGAGGAAGAGGACGCGGAAGCGGACGACACGGTTGGTCCAGCAACGGAGGCGCCCCAAGAGGACGTCGAAGAAATGCAACAGGCTGTCGAAAGTTTGAACGCCTCCGCCGGAGAAGGCGAAACGGACTTGAAACCAGACACCCCTCAGAGCGAGCACGATCTTCAGATAGACACCGACACGGAAGAGGATCCGAATTACGAATCGTTCGACTTGACGCAGCCACCGAAAACGCCAGACATTCCGTCGTTCTACAAATCTCCCACAAAGACTGTAAACACCATCACGCCATCTCTAGCCGCGGCGGAGAAGTCGGCCGAGACTCGAATAACCTCTGTACCCGTGAAACCACCGAGTCCACCCACGTCCGTGATCGCCCATTCGTGGAACTTGAACGAGAAGCCTCGAGAGGTTGTTAAACCCGTGCCAATTGAATCTGTCGACACAAACATCAGCGTGGCCAGTCCCGAACGATTGACCCCTCAGGCTCATCGGGTCACGACCCCTCCATCGCCGCAGTACAAACAGCCTGGTCTGGGTCCGTGCAGCGTTCCAATCGCCAGCGAAACACTCAGAATTGCCGCAGCTAGCCCCAGACCACCTGCCATTAGTGTGCAACCGTTGTATCAGAAGCTTCCTGTCTCGCCGCAATCGCAAATGATACCGATGCGTCAAGCTTCACCGAGGATGCAGAATATATCCACGGTATCAGCGTCGACCGCTTCCAATCTGACTCCTCTGCCTCCATTGGTTCCATCCAGGATACCACCTTTGGTACCGTCACAGTTGTCGCCGAGAATCTCGCAGCCGTCATCCCCTAACGGACAATGGTCCCGAAATCCATCTTTGAGTCCACATATGCCCAATGTTGGTAAACCATCGCCACCGCCGCCGAGAATAGCAGTCAGTGTTTCCGTGTCAGCCCACAGGCCGGATACACCAGCGCAACAGATTTATTCTACCGCGGCTACCCAACAGCCGGTCATTCAACATGCTCCGGGTATGAGGGCTCTGGTGCCCAGTTATCCAAGAGGAGGCTTGCCACCGTTAACGCTGAATATTCCACACCGTCCGTACATGCCTGTGAAGAGCTCCAGGGATTCAGCTCTGGGAGGTAAATCGGTCATCGAGACGCTGCTCCCGGTGAATCCCAACGAGCCCTCGCAGCGTTTAGAAGAGCCTAAATTGTCGCCAGCAGTGATACCCGAACCGACGAACAAAGCGTCGACGTCTCCGAAAGTTCCTTCGCCGAATCAACCGCCCACGTATATTCCAGAAACAGCGAAGATCGAGATTAACGCTAGCACGTCGAGTCCGGTGTTCGGGAAACCAACCACAGTGGCGGACACATTGACGTCTAGGTCACAGAAACAGATTACCGGTCCCATCACTACTGATAATAATTTGTTGTCGCCCAGACAGAAGCAGGAAATGTCGAGTCACCAGCTGTTGACCACCCATGTGCCGCGATCGTCAACACCCAGTCCGGTTATAGTCGCTCATGGGCAACCCCATTTGGTTCATAAGTCTGTCGTACATAGCATCGGAGCTTCGACAGTTGCTGGAGCTAATCAGCCGCTGATTAAGACGGTCGTGCCGATAGTTCCGCAGCAAACTGCACCCACGGTCGCAGTTTCGTTGCCCGAAGAGAAATGTGTCATCACGCAGACGTCGTTGCCTTTGAGTAGCCAGAAACACTCACCAGTGTCGCAGAGCAGTCAGCTTCCGAAATCACACATTCCTCTTGTGTCCACTGTCTCACAGGCCATTATCAGCCGAGCCGTACCCACCACTGTCTCTTCGATATCATCGCCTATAGTGACCGAGCAAAGTAAAGTCGAATGCCTAGAATCACGAATGACACCTGAACGGGTATTGGAGTTAGATCCGAACGCTCAAATCGCGCAAACAGCTCAGCCCATGCAGCTCACACCGCCTATTCAACCGACCCAACCGATGGACATTATCAAGGACGAGCCTACCGAAGTGAAACACGAAGAGCCTACGATGAAAGAGGAGTTCCCTAAGATCGAATCAACTGAATTCTCTCTGAACCAGCCAGTGAACGTCGATCTGAAACCGAAGATAGAGTCACAGGATCTGATTAAATCGGAGAAGATCATTCCAAAGACAGAAGTCACGGACAATCTGGTTCCCAAAATAGAGATCGAAACGCCTGTGAAAGTGGAGCCGGTGAACGAAATCAAAGAGGAGGACATCGTGAAAGAGACCGAAGAAGTGAACACCGAGGAGGAACCAGTAGAAGATCCACTGAAAGAACCAATCACGGATCCACTTGCCATCGACGTGTCCAAGGAAGATCCAGCGGATAGCAAAGAAGACAGCGATTACTGTGACGCTCTTTGCGACGGCGAGGGTAACGACGGCGACGAGGAGACTCAACATGGCCCGAGCATAAACAACGAGATCCAGGAACAGCCGAAAAGCGAGCCTGAATGGTTTAACACGGAGGTTGTGGAGAGCGAGAATAAGAAGAACTTCGCGACGAACGATGATCAGGACGAAGGCGTGGAGACGTGCGAGAGTGAGTCGACGAAAAGTCGTCGTGGTAGGATGAAGACCCGTCGAGGAGTCAGCAACCGTGGTGGCGTCACCACCAGACGAAGCGTCAGGAATACAACCACCGTTTCGCACAAACGAGGCGGCAGAACGCCGAGAGGAAGCAAGCACCACGTGGAGAAGAATAAACTGCCAGCGGACGTTTACGAGTTCCATGATGACAGCGAAGAGGACAACGCTGGACGTCCACGGTTAATTCTCACCATCAAGTCACCTGTACCGAACTTGACCGGTCCCAATACGCAGCCAGCGACACCCATAGCTGCGGTTAAAGAGGTTCCACCGGAAGAGTTCGTCTCCCCAGCTGCGAACACGAGGAAGTCCAAGAGACTGGCCGAAAGGGACGGCAGTAGGAACACTATCGACGATGTCATCGAGGACGTGGTGCGAGGATCGGCGGCGAACAAGGGCTTGGTTGGTAATGCAGGCAGCGTTCATGCTACCAGGCGAAGTACTAGACATAACAATACACCTCGAACCGTACAAACCACGGTGCAACTGACAGAGCCTCGAAAGTCACCGCGAGCAACGCGAAAATCAATACGAAGAACATCCGAGAACAATGACGACAGTAGCGAGGAAAAGATCAAAGACGTGCCACCAGCACCGCAGGAGATACAGAATAAGGAGGAGAGTGTTCCCCCTCGAGTTGAAGCTCCGAAGACAGAGGAAACGAGTCCGCCTGTTCCGTCACCGATCCAGAAACCAGTTTCTCACGAACCAATGACGCTGATCGATCCGGTAACTGGAATGTTAATACCAATGAGAGAATCGGAAGAAGGTCAATATATACCAGTCTCGACGAGTTCTGGTCAGATAACCGTGACCAGGACCACGTGTGACGCGAGAACCACTCCTGGAATGATCATCGCCAGTTCAACGGCCGAAATCGTAAGACCTAAACCACTTCAACCGGAGAATCTTACTGTTTCTGAAGAACCGAAGAAGGAGCAGCCTGCAGAATCAGTTCCTAGTCAACCAATTAAACCAATTCAACCAATTCAACCAATTCAACCAATTCAACCAATTCAACCAATTCAACCAATTCAACCAATTCAACCAATTCAACCAATTCAACCAACTCAACCAATTCAACCAACTCAAGCAATTCAACCAACTCAACCAATTAAACCAACTCAACCAATTAAACCAACTCAACCAATTAAACCAACTCAACCAATTAAACCAAGTCAACCAACACAAGCAACTCAACCAATTAAAGCAACTCAAGCAACTCAACCAACACAACCTACTCACACAATTCAACCGATTCAACCTCAGACCAGTGTGATTACCAAACCACAATCTCCAGCGGTCCAGGTCACTTCTGCGGTCAGCATGATTCAAACAGCAATAACAACAACAACTGTCACGTCTGTAGTCACGACAACAGTAGCAATACCGCAGACGATATCCACTTGTACGACGCAGTCTAAGCCTACCAGTCTCAAGGCTCATGTCCTGAACGCCAGTAAATTAGCCACACCTGTACAACAACCGATCATCACCAAACCGACTGTCCCGAGCATACCTAGTCAGTCGGTGGTACAAAATATGGTTAAGCCAACGCAAACGGTGCAAGGTCTGCATTTGCAAATACCCAGTAGAGTTGTGTCACCTAACTTGAGTCCACGTGCGAAGCACCCACCACAGAGTCAAGGTCAACCAATGTCGCCAGTATTGAATAACACTGGGGTTCCACCGAATCCTAAGCAACATCTTCTACAAGCGGCTAAACAACAACAGGCGTCTACAATAGTGAATCTCCCTCAGAAATTACCCATGAATGTTCACCCAGCTAATGTAACAACACCACCAACACCGAGGATTCATCAACCGGTGACACAACCCGCAGCTTTAAAAGGCATCAATGGTCAACCTCATCCTCTGAATCCAAAGGCTCATTTGCTGCAAGCTGTAGTTCCACCGATAGTTGCCGGAGCTGTGGCAAGTCCACCTACCCAGCCACATCTAATGACTCCTCAACCTGTTGGCGTGAGCTGTTCTAGACCACCTGCACCAAAACCACCGGTAAGCATAGTCGTTTGGTGTCCCAGACATTTTAGAATTTAGAATGTTAATGCTGTTTTGAATGTTGGAGAGAGAATATCATAAATTTATGTTTAAATAACGATGTTTCAGGTAACGGGGACGATGGAACCACCAAAAGTTGAAGTTTCTATGTCTGGCTGCATCATGGTACCAACCGCAAGCCCACAGGCACGTGGAGTACCAATATCATCATACGAAGGGCCACTGGTAAGCACAGTGATACATACATGTATATGTTTGTTACTTTTAACTACTGTACCAAAATGGATATAACTGAATGTACAGGGCAATACATGTTCATGATCATTTAAAATATGGTCTTAAATAGTTGATAAATGGTTGATAGATGTATTACAGAAAATTAAGGTAACCTTAACAGAAATCTGAGAAGATTTGTATTATTTTGTCTTCTGATAGAAATTACAAAAATTTAGGGTAGATGTCTCAATTACTGCCACTTTAAGATTGTAGCGTAACTTCATTTAACTATTTTACGTGTTGTTTAACATAAAAATCGTTTCAGTTTAAAAAATAATATTATTCGATATCTCTTTCACTAAAAAAAATAGTTCTATGCATTAAATGTAAAGAAGTAATTAATAATTAGTTAAAATCTACGAGCAATCCTAGTGTCCCTATAACTCATAGTTACTTCAAAAATCATCTTGTTCTATAACTGTCTGTCCTATTAACTGTGACCAGATGACTGATGGTCTGTATTATTGACAATGACACCCGATTACAGTTGGTCCTTTTTACTGAGATTCAATTACTGCCCATCCCTTTTACCGAGATCCGATTGAAAATTATCAGTCACATATTTATACTGAAGTTATACACACAATAAAGAATCACGCTATATGTTTTACATGTCAACTTTGACAGATGGCAGTCATGCGTACCTACTCTTACATATCACGTTCTTTTATCCCGAATACCGACGACAGTGATAGGGACAAGCTGAAAAATATTGTCTCTGATGCTGTCACCGTTGATTATCACGATTTAACAATAAATATCATTTATTATATTCTCTGTATCATTAAAGTCATGTTTATTTACTTTAACAATTCATTTTGTATAATAGATATAAATTCATTAGTATAATTACGGCTCTTCTTTTAGTATGGTTTCGTAATGACTTCGCTCAAATTGTACTGTCATATTTCAGCATTAATTTTTAAATACCAGGTACATATACGTACATGTATTTCTTTGCTTTTATGTAAATCAGAGTCCCCATTTAATAATAAAATTTTTTGTGCATAATTCATTATAGCTCGTTACGTTTTTATTAAGTAAAATAAATAAAGTGGCAGCATTAGTGACACTTACAGCAATTGGAACATTTACCCTATAATGTTTTAAGCGATCATGATATATGAATCTCCTTGTATAATTCTTTCAATGCGTTGTCTGTGACTAAATAAGATTAATCTATTCTTGTATGGTAGCAGCAAGTTTAATATTCTAGAGTCTCTTTGTGTGACTATATGATATACATAATATGTACCTAAAACGTGTGACACAGAAACTAACTTTGCTTGGTTTTGGCTAGCATGGGAATGCGAGTGCTGCTCCATCATCAGGGGGTCAGTATGGACTTGTCCCCCCACATCGATCCCAGAGTCCTCCATTACCCCCACCCGCCCATCATCATGCTAACGCTTCTCAGGTACTTACTTATGTTAACTTTATTTCGATAAAAATACACATCAAAGATATATGCAGGATAAAAGCAGAAATCGACCTTCGAAATTAATTGTTACTTGGCCAGTCGAAGTAATTGTCAATATATCAGTTTGAAAGAAATCATTTAAATATATTAATTATTAGTATTTAGTATTCTCTTAATTTAAAGTTATCATACCAGAAGAAAATATTGTAAATCCATATTTATTATTCTGGTGTCAATTCAAAATAGGGTCTTAAATCAGAAAAATTCATCTATTGTATCGTAATCATTTCTCTATAATTTTGATTGATTTTATTCTACACAGGGTGACGTCGTAAATCATTTTGGAGGCCTGCTGAAGCCTTAACAGCTCCACGAATAGCGTATCACATTCCACGAACTAGATCACCTCATTTACCGTTAGATCCGAAACTGGAGACTGGTATAGAAGACAGTCACAGTCCACCCTTAGAACTGAGACGGGGCACTAGAACGCCTCAAGATCGCACCACGGATAGTCCTCAGGTAGCTCAAGTTTATATGCTGCACGGAGCACCAAGATTACCACCGCCACCGCCGCAATACAACGCAGGAAGCAATCCGTCTTTAACCGCGCCAGCCGCCACCAGAGGAGGATTCTATGAGCCGCCACCCGCACATTTGCGTTCTCAGTATCCAATCGCTGCTAGCGAAGCACCGAGCGACAGAGCAATCACACCAGACAGACCCAGGAAACACCAAGTGGTCACGCCACCTCATGCTTCGCAAGTGCCGCCACAGGCAGACTCGTTTCAGATGTTACTCCAACGTTATCCGGTCATGTGGCAAGGTCTTCTGGCACTTAAGAACGACCAAGCAGCAGTACAAATGCATTTCGTTTTCGGTAACCCCAACGTAGCCAGGGATAGTCTACCCTGTAACAGCGACGGTTCTACACCACCGTTGAGAATTGCTCAAAGAATGAGACTGGAACAGACGCAGGTCGAGGGTGTGGCAAGGAAAATGCAGGTATGTGTTAAGATACTTTTATTAATTTACTTAAGAATCTAGACTACAAACCCGATGGTATGATATATGATGTTATATCGTTCTTAAGAAGACGATACTCAAATCCACTTGAGTCGTATTAGTCAGTTTTTTTTTTTGTTTTCAGAAGTGCTTCTGAAATAATTAATTCATTTCACTTGCTCTTTCATAGATGGACAATGAACATTGCATGCTTCTTGCCCTTCCGTGCGGTCGAGACGAGGTGGACGTATTGCAACAGAGTAAGAACCTTCAGACTGGATTTATAATGTATTTACAACAGAAGCAGGCCGCTGGAATTGTTAACATCGCTGCACCAGGATCGCAACAGGTATGTGAAGATCAAATTTAAAAAATATTATTCGCAATGTCTTGAATGGTAACAGCTCTTGGAGTAATTTCAAATTATTAGCATAAACCGCTAAAAAGAATACTGAAAAGTATTTGAATAAATTAAAGTACAGATAATAATTAATAATACTATTAGGTGTACCAATAATTATTCTACTACTTCTTCTGAAACTCGTTTCGAAATAATTCAAATACCTATCCCATTTTAACAATATTAGCTATTTGTTCCCGTTAGCCTCCACCATTTTGGTGTAACAGAAGGTTGGAAAGATATTCTGAATTTAAAATGCATTCCCACCGTGTTGGAACTGTAGTGAATTACTTATTGGTACACCTAACAATAAAAATAACGAATTAAAATCCAGACTTACCGTGTTGTTTAATACGTGCACAGTCAGTGATTGAACTCGAACGACAACCTGAACGCACAGATAAATAACACGATGCATTTAATTTGTAGCCTGCTTACGTAGTTCACATCTTTCCGGCGTGCGAGTTCGCGAACGAAAGTTTGGCAAGAATCGCGCCGGATTTGCTTCATCGGGTCGCGAAGATCGCCCATTTGCTCATCGTCATTGCCACGGTTTGAGGCCAACCAGTGGTCTACTGGATTACAATCTACCTATATCTCTCGCCTTCACGCACTGTAGGACGCTTCGCATGTGGCATGAAGCCTGGAGTGTCCTTGTAACGGAGCGCAGAGTCGTACAACAGATAAAATGAAGAGAGAGGGGTCCCGACGAAGCTAATGATTTCTCCTCTGAAAAGATATCTTATATAATATCAGTGACAATCAAACGGAAATAATAGAATCGTTGGCCAAGAACAAGGTACGGGGTTGTGTTACGTAGGGGAGGCTAGCCGCGGTCAATGCGTGAACATATCACCGGGCGTGCCTTCCTTCCAAAATGGGATGGCGAAGGGCGAGCACATTTTGTCCGATGGGCTCGCAATACGCTCATATCACTGATAACTTTTGTGAGATCGACCGACGTCACTCTTGGTCTTTCTGACAAGCGGGTCAGGCACAACCCCAGCCCTTAGTGAAGGACCTTCGATTAAGGGGAAAAAAAAAACAAAAACCACGCGATGTCCTCAAGAGAGAAGAGAAACTTATATATATATATATACACGTACCACATAGCAAGAACAACAACACAGAGACACGCAGGACATAGACACATACACACATACACACACAGAGAGAGAGAGAGAGAGAACACTTGTCCTTCCTATAGGAAAACAGTAAAACCATTACCTACCGTTGCTCTAGATGGACAGTCGATTTCGTAAGTAAGAGAATAGAGGAAGAAAAAAAAACTAACGTACCCCTACCACTATACACGAGCTATTTTAAGTAAGGCTTAGATATTAATGATACTGTGTAAATTATAAGCGAGCCAGCGAGGGCATAACTACTGTGATTTTAATTATTTAACGATATATGTCTGCGTAAAGACGAAGAAAACAAAAAGTAAAAACATATAAAATGGTGACCGGGATACACTGGTCCGCGCGCGGTATGTGATGTGTTTTTTGTATAATACTGCTCTATATAAATACCTATGTATTATATTACTGTAACAATAGTTGCTGCTGCCGCTGTTGCTGCTGCCGCTCGTGTCGAACTAGAAAGTAAAAGCGTTACGATCTAGACATCTCTAGTGAAAGAAAAAAAAAATAACGTGAGCGAAAGGACTACCTAAAATAGCGTTTATCCCTAATGTAATATAATTTCCCATAGCAGGATTCAACTACCACTATTGCTACTACTACTATTACTACTATACTATTATCATCACTACTACTACTATTATTACTACCACTACTCTACTACTACTATTATCGCTGCTATCAATTATTATTAACGTTATTACACCAGGCTAGCTAGGACGTACCAATCCACACATTGAACGAAGGGGCTTAAAGTATGTCATACTGGGAACAAGATACAGTATGATCGATCTCATTGACCATTGACGTCGCCCTGATTCCACACACACATACACACACAAAACACTTCCATCCCTCCCTCTCTTCCCACCCACCTTCCCCCATTTCTCTTACCCTCCCCCCCCTTGCCGCCTTCCGCGCGATGTGTCATAGGATTCTTTAGCAATCGCGTCGAGGATAACAAATGCGCTTACGTGTATAGACCAGAAAGTTGCAGTATATCACACGGAGCCGCGATAACAAGAAAACATATTAAGTAATATAAAAGAAAATTTACCTATTTACGATATTATTGCTGCTGCGTGTAGGGCGCATGCCTCTAGAGGATAACGTTATGT